AGATGTCACCAGCTGTATCTGTTCTTGCAGGCAGTAGTCAGCACCTGATTTAAAACATACATAGCCACACACACAATTTTATTTATTTCTAAATTATGTATGTGTATGTCTGTGTTTGGGTATGAGCATGCAAGTCCTCTGGAACAGGAGTCACAGTTAGTTTTCAGCCACAATATGAGTTCTGTGAACCAAGTTCAGGACCTCTGCTAGAGTAAAAGATGCTCTTAACTGCTGAGCCGTCTTTCCGGCCCCCGATTTAAGCCTCATTAAAAGCATATTTTGGAATATCCAGAGTTACAGTGTGTTGTGAGTTTGTCTCATTTTTCTATGAAATATTTAAGCTCCTTGAATGTGTGTGGTTTTCTATTTGTGTAGAAAGCATATACTTAGGAAATGTTGATGAGTGTGTAAATAATTCAGCATTCAGTTAATTAACCCAAACAAACTCTTGTTGTGTTTTAATTTCCACACTGCTGACTAAGCCAGCTGTTTTTGTATAGGCTTTGGGAGAGTCTAGGCTGCATGTAGATGTCTTAACCTTCTAATATAGGAACTGACACAAATCCAGAAATACAGGAGCTCATGGCAAAAGGAAATTGTCACTAGCTTGGTAGATATGGAGATCTATTTATTTGGGGTCAATGAAGGCTTTGTCACGGTGGACACCCATGGTCAATAGTTTAGAACTTTATTTATGATGTATATATAGCCTAACTCCTTTTGAGAAAGGATCTCTGAAAAGGTATATAGAGAATAGTCCAATTAAAAACAAGTTTTTTTGTTTTTTGTTTTTCAAGACAGGGTTTCTCTATGTAGCTGGAGAGATGGCTCAGCCGTTAAAGGCTAGGCTCACAACCAAAAACAAGTTTTAATATAGCTCAGGTGGTAGTGTGTTTGCTTAGTGTGCATAATGCCCAGGGTTAAAGGTCGGGTTTCATTCTTCAGCTTTGCATAAACCTATAAGCCAGATGATATAGCAGCATCTTCCTTAAACCCAGCAGGGAGATCAGGAGTTCAGGGCTACCCCTACCATATAGAGAGTTGAAGGTCAACCTGCGCTACTTGAGACCCTGTCTCGAAACCAGGCACAACCACATCAGTTTCAGATGAGCCTGATAAGTCAGACCTGGGGTCAGGTGGTAACACTGGCAGCTGAGGCAGGAGGGTTGTGAGTTCTAGGCCAGCCTAAGCCTACATAGTAATATCCCATCCCCAAAAGGAAAATCAACAAAAACCCCAAACCAAGCAAATAAGCAAACAAAATAAGAGTTTAATAGGAAAGTATTAGATCCTACTTAAAATGAGGATGAATTAAGCCTTTCCCATCAGCAGGTAGGACTAACCCCATCTCTACAGAGGCCTTCTGGCTGAGTAGATCAGTCTGCCCAGAAGTAGTATGGGAGGAAAAATGCTGAACTTTCCCCCATACCTGGACACCTTGGAGGAGATAAGAGGCGAGGACAGCAGACAGTCTGTGCTGTAAACACTGCAGTCACAGAGCACACGCCACAGTTGTGTCTCTGTGAACTTCAGGGGGATTTTTCTGAGCCAAACTTACAGGAAACAGCAGTATATGTTTTCTGGGCAGATTTCCTGCTTTGTAGCACACGAAAATCTTCATGTCTTCTGGATTTTTTTTTTTTTCTGTTTTGGTTCTAAACATTCACGACAGGAAATTTGCTTCGTCCCCCCATCCAGTGCCTGGGACTTGACGGTCACTTCGGTCTGTCAAGTTAAAGGCACAAATTCATTGTGTAGTGAGTTCAAGAATGCAGACGTTCTGGAAGACTGTTTTAGATGTGTGTTTATATACATAGAGATTTGCATATTTTAATAGTATATGTATGATACATATATTACTTATCTGGAAACATACACACACACACACACACACACACACACACACACACACACACACACACATTTAAGTCTTTGCAGGTACAGAAGGGTTTACAGTGAGAAGCCACACCAGTCCATCTAGCCAGAGAGCCTTTGTCTAGAAAGAAACTGCAGGGTTTTTTTTTTTAATTAGTTTCTTAACTCTCCAGAAATAACTTATAGCTAAGTAATTGTGTAAAACACTCTTTAAAAACACAGATGCCCACCAGGCCACTTACCAGCATGAGCAAGTTACCTTCGAGATGGTTCCCTGTTAGCCACAGAGAACTCTTTCATTCTTGCCAATGAGTACAGAGCACTAATGTTCATTGCAGAGGGTGATGTTTCAGTATTCCACGGCCTCACAGGAAATGCAATTACTGTTGTATTCATATTTATTGGTTGATTTAATGTTAGCATTATTTATGACATTTATTAATAGAGTATGAATATTTAATCAGCCTTCCACTGACATTTAAATTATTTTCTAACATGTAGGATTTCAAACTGCTAAAAACACACCGTATTTGTAGATGAAAAAAGATTGGGTTAAAGTGTATGTACATTTATGTATTTCATGTGTCTAATCTGTTTTGATCTATGTACACATATACAATACATTATGAAATGATAACTATAGCTGGGCAAATAGGTTCTGTATCATCTCACATAGTTAACCTTTGTAGGTGGCGGTGGGGGAGGGGAGGTAACCGAAAATCTTTGAGCACGTCTCCAGTATGCAATATTCTTTTAAGAGGAAGCCCATCAGAAAGCAGCCCAGAGAACACATAAGGAAGTCAACAGAACTAATTACCAAGATGGAAAACGGGTCCAAGTACACTCACAATGAGAGAAAGCAGAATTTCAAATGAAAAGTGGAATTTTAGACCACCGTTTGAAGTCACCTCAGAAACCCAGGTAGCATCTCAAATGGAAGGAGATGCCCACCCACCTCATACTGTCCGTTCCTCTAGCAACTGTATTCACGTGTCCATTATTAGTGGTTGTGTGTGTGTGTGTGTGTGTGTGTGTGTGTGTGTGTGTGTGTGTGGTGTCCATGCAGCTCACAGCACACATGTGACACACACAGGACACCTTTACGGAGTTGGTTCTCACTTTTCTGTCTTTACAGGGGGTTGGGGGATAGATCCCAAGTTGTTCCACTAAGGGCCTCTTTACTTCCTGGGCCATCTTTCCTGGCCCTCATCCTCATTGAAAAAAAAAAATGTTTGTTATTGTATTTGTGTAAGTGGGTTTGCATTCCTGCTGTGACTCAGGAGGTCAGAGGACAGCTTGTGGTAGCCTGTTCTTTCCTTCCCTGGGACTCCTGTAGAAGGAACTCGGGCACCAGGCTTTATCTACTGGTCCCAATAGTCTTTTTTGTTGAAGAATTATTTATTTTTATTTCCTGCCTTATGGTTGTTGTTGCCTGCATGTGTGTATGTGCCTGGTGCCCATGGTGTCCAGAAAAGGGTGCCAGATCCCTTAGAGTTGGAGTTACAGATGGTTATGAACTCCATGTGGCTGCTGGGAATTGAATCTGGGTCCTCTGCAAGAGCCACGGGTGTTCCTAACCACGGGGCCATTTCTTCAGCCCCTCTTTCTTCAAAACAAATGTATCTGGCATTTCTTTTTAGTGGGGAGGCGAGGGCCATAGCATGTGTGCGGAGGTCGGAAGTGAATTTACAAGTGTCAGCTCCCTCCATTGACGGTGTAGGTCCTAGGATTGAACTCAGGCGGTCGGGCTGGGGGTCAGCCTGCTGAGCCATCTCTCTAGCCCTGGGACACAGTATTCCTAAGGTGAACCGCCATCCCCAGCTGTACAACCCCTCCTAGACTTCCTCCTTTTCAACACCTTCGTGTGATCTCCATTTTTCCTCGCTCTCAGTTTTATTATGTTAGATCTGCTAAAATGTCACCAGTTAACAGCCCTTTATTGATCATGTTCTCAGCATGGCAGTGTCTGTATTAGGTTATTTGCTATTTACTTGTGTAAAAGGTTTAAAAAAAAAATGCCATGCATAGGGTTACAATTTATGTTAGTTTATTTATAGAAACAGTATTGGTCTCTTTTGTTTGTGTGCTAGGAACCCCTTGTGTTCCCTTTTGTGTGTGCTGTTCGCCTTCTTGCTGTAGGGCTGGGTATCCTTCCCCTGCTGAGCAGCATCCTCAGCTTCCTCAGCATCCTCAGCATCCTCAGCATCCTCAGCATCCTACTGACAATTGCATCTCCTTATCTTTGCATAAGATGAGTTTGTTTGGCTTGTGAATGGAAGGGCTGCCCTCTCCTGTTCTTTGCCGTGTGTTTCAGGTGTGGAGTTCTAGCTTGTGTTGTCCTCTAAATATTGTGTTCATGGGTCAAGTTCATCCTCTTCCTTCAGGCTGTCTGGGAAGTTTTAAGTTCATGAAGTTCCCAGTTTATCCTCCAGGTCTGGGCTTCACTCTGCACACCTGTGGCATCTTCTTTTTTTTATATTTGGTGTCCTGTCTACTGTTCTCACATTTCTCCATTAAAGATGTTGCATCATTTTATTTGGGGGTGCTATGTGTTCACATCTCTTCCCAGATCATGGCCCCTGTTTTTTGTGGACTTGGCCATGGAGTCCACCTTTACTGGTATTTGCTAGGCAGACACACATTGGGTGTTCATAGACACAGTTGGTTTATCTTGGTCTTATACATTGTAAGTACTCTGGTGAAGAAAATGTTTTTTTTTTTTTTTTAAAAGTTCTGATTGTGTCTGTCTGTAGAGGATATAACAGACAAGTTCCTCCTACATTAGAGTGGAACTCTGATTGGAATCAGTGCGGATAAGGAGTGCAAGCCTGAGTGGATGGTTATGGTAACTGTGCATATTTGTATATGTGAAAAGATAAGAGTTACATTCTTGCCTAAGAGAATTTCCAAAAGCTCCTTTTGTGTAGCCAGATTCACAAATCAGAGACCTAAGGTCTCACCCACACCTTCGTTTCCCTTAATGCATGCACATGCTTTTGCCCAAGAAATAGAAATCACAGCAGAGGCACATGACCAGAAATGTTGATGAAGTTCAGATGATAGCATGGAAAGCAGGAACAAGAGTGTTGATGCTCTAACAAAGCGTTCTTTCCTTTTTCTCGCAGATCTGTCTAAAAACAGGCTGGTGGAAGTGCCGATGGAACTGTGCCATTTCGTATCACTGGAAATTCTTAACCTGTATCACAACTGCATCCGGGTCATTCCTGAGGCCATTGTTAATTTGCAGATGCTTACCTACTTAAACCTGAGGTAGGTTTAACTGGGAACTTCTGATCATGTGCGTTCAGGGGCCAGCACAGAACCATGATACGTTCATCTATCGTCTTTGCTATTCTTGGTCATACTTGCAGTTAAACCACAGAAATATTAAACATGCCCTATGTCCTAAATTTATAGGGCCCTTCATATTGCTCTTGGTGCTGGACTTGCCCACATGTCATCCGGGCAAGGTTCGAAAAGGGAATATTTACATAGCATCCTTGTCCTCTCCCTGACGGTGTGTATAAGGATGCTAGTATGCTGTCTTCAGGAATTCATGATTTTGAAGGAGGAAGGGAGAAGAATGTCAGTTAAGGCATTTCAAGAGAAAGGGAGGTAGCCATTCTTTGTGAGTTCAGTCACTTTAAGGAAATTGTGGAGGATCTGAGTGTGGTATAGTGCACACCTTTAATCCCAGCACTTGGGAGGCAGAGGCATGTGGATCTCTGAGTTTAAGGCCAGCCTGGTCTACATAGTGAGTTCTAGGACAGCCAGGGCTACAGAGGGAAATCCTGCCTTGAAAAACCAACCAACCAACCAACCAACCAATAAATAAAAATAAAGTAAAACCAAAACAAACAAAAACCGAAAAGACCCCCAAACAAAAAGAGAAAGTGGTGGAGAACAGCTGAGCTCTCTAGCCAGATAGACAGTTTGCCTTCTTAATTCCCATTAAATTAAGCTGCTCTTCTTTGAGCATGCCTTACTATATCTTGAATAAAGTAATGTAACACGTTAAGGCTGCAGACTAGCTCTAGCATTTAAAGAAAATTGATGTTTTTAAAATCTTGGTTTTAAAACTCTTTTTATGAGGCTACAATTACCCTGATACCCAAACCACACAAAGATGCAACAAAGAAAGAGAACTACAGACCAATCTCCCTCATGAACATTGATGCAAAAATACTCAACAAAATATTGGCAAACCGAATCCAAGAATACATCAAAACAATCATCCATCATGACCA